TTTTGCTCGGGGCTGTTTTATCCACGCTTTCCTATGATATGACTTGTTACCAGTATCTCTTACTAAGTTTCCTTCCTTAAGATTATAGGAAGTCAAAACACTATTTTCACAGAGGAAGTAGCTCAACAGTGTTATCTTTATGGTATTTTGCACTGCTTGTTTCAAGAGAAAAGTACTGATTCATGAAGAGGAAATTTGGGGTTCTTTGACTCTGTGTGCATTGGTTTTTTTGTTTTTGTTTTTTGGGTGGTTTTTTTTTTTGGTGTCAGCCTCAGGGGAGATTTCCAATTATGCTTAGGGCAGAGGTGCTCTTGACACCATGCCCTCCCCTGCAATGCCCAAGCATTATTCTAGTGTTGGATTGGAGATGGCCATTACCTGGGATTGCTACCAAACTCTGCAGCTCGCTCTTAAGGTTCATAATGTCTTTGCACAGCTGTATGTCATCCATCCTGCAGAACAGAAAAAATACAGTCAGAGACATGCAAACTCACATACTCTGTTCATGGGATCAGCCGGACCTCATTTCACTATGCAGCACTGTCCCTTGTTTGGGACCTGTACATCCACTTGAAATGCAGGGTTTTGACCCTGAGATACTGGCACTGTTCACTCACCTACTGCAACAGAGAGCAAAAACTGTACCATAGGGCTGGGCTGGTCCATGATTACTTGTCTTACTGGGACCTAATTTGCAGATTGTTACTTCAGCTGCTTTTTGCTTTCTTGAATATCACCCCTAATCTTCTGAAATGAGCATCTGTACATCTACTAGTCACAAAAAATACACGTGCTTTAGCCAGAGCTTTCACTGGGGAAAAGGGCAAAAGCAAGGGGCAGCAGAAGCTGACATATTACTTGGTCCAACCAAACCAAAAGTCTACATTCCACTGCTAGCTATCTTTGTGACTTTACAAATACGTAAGCCAAAGATTGGTAATGGTGGTAATTTGGCATCTAACTATTTTGAGGTCTTGTTCCCTGGGTCACTGTCTTCCATGAGTGTTGTGAGAGTACTTCAAATCTTGGATGTGTGTAGAAAGTCCATTAATGTTAAGGCACAGATGCTACCTGAATAAATCATTGTAACATTAGTAGAAACTGGCAAGCGCCTTTGATTCCTGTTGAAACTGATACCTGTCCTGGGAGCTGCTGTACTCCACTGGAAGCTAGCAAACACGAACACTAACTTCCTGGTGAATGTGCTATTTTAGTGTCTCAGTGGTATTGGCAGCCAAGGCTCAGGTGTTGCTTTCGAGGGCTGTACCAAGGACTTCTATTTTGAAATCACACTCTGAAGAAGAGGTTTTTTTTGTTTAAAAAAAAAAAAAGGCTTTATGATTAATTGTTCATTCTTCATTTTGGATGCTACCAATTCTATCCTTCTCCACAGGTCTACAAGTCTTTGTTTCCTGTGCCAAAGGGGAGGACTGTCTAGTGCCTCTAACCTCTGGGCTACTCCGTGGTTCACTGTTGTATGTGCTTAGGACACTTGGAGGCAGAGAGCTTAACAGTGATGATTATTCTTACTCGGACTCCCTATACTATTCACGCTGATCACAGGCAAAGCCTGTTTTACTCTTGAGATCCATCATGCTAAATCATATGGAAATTATTTTTATCAATTAGCAATCTTATAAACTATCCCTTCAGGGGAATTAGTATTCAAAATGTGTTGAGATGCAAGCAAGCCAGAGAGCTCCTTATCCTTTTTTAATATTCATGCAGTTTGAGTGTTATATTAATATCATGAGTATTAATGTATTTGAAGAAAATAACTATAGTTAACAGAAAAGAGCAAGAAATGTTTGACATTGTGCTGTGTTCAAATGTCTGTGGGCTGGACCCTCAACTAGTGAAGAGAACAGTGAACTTCACAGCAAAAGCGATGCCCATGGCACGTGGAGCGAGGGTATTCATTTTTCTACGTCAGATAAATTGGGCTCCATCTGAGAAGATCTGAGAGATACTGATTAAAATACTTCACTGTACCAGTCTGGCTCCCTCTCCTCCTCAAGGAATTCCCAACAGTTAATGTCAAGTGTTCTTTCAAGGTTTCCTTCTAGGAATTAAAGTATCATTGGCAGTACATTCCCAGTGAGCAAGATCACCTCTGTCTGCTAGTCCTACATCCTCTCTGGTTGAAGTTGCCTGCTCGTGGCAAAGGTACTGGCCTCATACACTTTCCCCAGCAGTAGGTGTAAATAGCCCTATTATCTTGGCTCTTTCCCTTTCATCTGAAGGCAGAGCTGCTATATACAGCTTCTGCTTTTCATACATCACGTTCTTAGTATCACTTTTTCCTGAGCCATCAACTTTGTTCCTGCCTCGTAACTCACAGGAGAGGAGGAAATATATGGCCAAGCACTTAAGGGCTGTAACAACTCTGTGACTCTCTGAATTCCTAAAGTCGTAAGCCAGATGACCTCTTCAGAGTCACAGCTCTGTAGTCATGCACCAGTCTCTTTAAGCACATTGAATACTGTTCCTCCCATCTGTGTCGGACAGCCTTTGTGTTTCGTCCACTTCATGCTGGTGATCGGGGCGGGGGGGGCAGGGGAAGTGAAGCGCTTTGTATGTTTAAATCTTTAAAGGAGGGCTATGGGACATAGTCATAAAAATCAAGCGAAGGCTTCACCCATCTGACTCAATGAAAGCAGGAGGTATATCTGCTTGTCAATATAAAGCATGTTGTAAATCTGCTGTGAATAAGATAACATCGAACACAGGGCAATAATTGCTGTCCTGGGTAAGGGTCACCTAATTGTTCTCAAAGAAAAGGAAGAGAGGAGGGGCTCCTCGGAAAGAAAGCTCTTGGAAGGCCGTTTGATTCTGTTGCTGTGAACCCCTCTCTTTCTCCTTTGTGCTCTGGGTCTTGCACCCAAGCAGTTATAGGAGGCCCAGGAGATATTAAGCTTCCTTCTGAAAGAACCACATTGCAGTGGATTTGAAAGCTGGTCAGGCAGTAGGGTTTGACTGAGAACATACTTGTATTACAGTGAAACTTTTCAAGAAGTCTGAAAAAAGAGCCTTTGGGCATCCTAAAAAGAGTAAGAATCTACAGAGTAGAGCAAAAACTCCTTTGGGTCCCCTAACTTTCCACAGGGAAGCTGGAGAGACGTTCTGAGCCTAATTCTGCAGCGCTTTTTGTTCTATAAATCACATCTATCAAAGTGCAAGACAGGTCAGAGAAAAGCCACGTTCTTGTTCAGCTTATTTAAGAGCATTGTTCTACCTCCTGTGCAGCTGGTGCTCTTCTCTGAGGACAGCAGCACAATTGGGTTGCTGGTCTGTGCTGAATACAAGGGCTTTTTCCCTGTAGATACAGCATGACCCAGGGTAGCAAAATGACACTCTCCAGCCTGTTCAAGCTATCTACGCAGCTACTCAAGACATATATATAAAATTTCCAGTACACAAACAGCGTGTGCTGATCCTCGTGTCCCCTGTAATAGACAGTATTCTGTCTATTACAGAATAGACAGAATTCAGTCCCCGTGAAAATCATTTTTGATGTTGTAGCAAAAGCATCAGTAAAGCAAACAGCAGTTACAGTACGTCAGTTTAACCTCAGAGCAGAGCTTTAAATGTCTGCCCAGCAATCCTAAACTCTTGAGTTATGAATATGATAAAACGTTTCTCTTAATAAGAGCCCAAATCCATTTCTGGAATAATTGCAATAGTGTTGGTTTAGGGATGAATTCTCAGGGTACTTTCATGTATTCCTGACACTCTCCTTGTAATTCTGCTTTTCTGTTTCATAATTGTTTATTGCGAGAAACCCTCTGCATGCTTGGAGTTATCACACAGCATGTATTATTCTTTTCTCTCTTTGTATTTCAAACTATATCATCAAAACCTAAAAGCAGACCCTCTGTTTGCCCAAATAAGTAAAAATAGCTCATAATGAATAAACAGCACAAGCAAAAGGTTTTCTAAACATGTCACAAAATGACAGGAAAATAA